TTTTCATTTTGGATTCTTCTGCCGTCAGTGTTTCATGAAGACACGCTCGGATTTTATATTGGACGATTAACACCATTTTTTTGTGGAAATATAGACTGGATAGGAAGAGAATCAGATCAAACAATGAAGCGGCAAGTATTACTGGCGTTGTTGTCTCTTTTCCTCATCAACTCGGCGATCGGACAAATAAGCTACTCTATTCCAGAGGAAATGCCAAAGGGGTCCCTGGTGGGAAATATCGCACATGACTTAGGTTTAAATACGAAACGTTTTATATCGGGTAAAGCAAAGATTCATACCAGGAACAGTTTGGAGTACGTGGAGCTGAACAGAGAAAGAGGATTGCTCTTTGTAAAGGAAAAAATCGACAGAGAGGCGCTTTGCACAGAGGTTACGGTTTGTAGTCTAGACTTTCAGATTATTTTGGAGAATCCTATAGAATTTTACACCGTTACTGTTCAGATTACAGATGTTAATGATAATGCACCGACATTTGAAAAAAGCGAGATGAATTTCAAAATTAGTGAATCAGCAACACCAGGAGTAGAATTTGTGTTAGAGAGGGCTGAGGATAATGATGTTGGAATCAATGGAGTTCAAAAATACGAATTGAAACCAAGCGATAATTTTGCTTTGAAGCTGCACAATAATCCACATGATAAGAAAAATGTGGAGATAGTGTTACAGAAGCCTTTAGATAGAGAGACAGAGGAGCAGATAAATCTAGTACTGACCGCTATAGATGGAGGAGATCCACAAATGTCGGGAACGATGCTTATCATAATAACAGTTTTAGATGCAAACGATAATTCTCCACGTTTTACACAGAAAACGTACAAGGCAGCACTTACTGAAAACTCACCGATTAGCACTACTGTTGCTTCTGTTACAGCGTCAGATGCAGATCAAGGTTCTTACGGGAAAATAACATACTCAATCACAAGTACGCAAGCAAATGTTAGGAAAATATTTGAGATAAAAGAGGGAAACGGAGAGGTATCTCTAATTGGAAATATTGACTTTGAAAAAAACAAGTTATTTGAAATTATTATAGGTGCTACAGATGATGGAGGACTTACTGATTCCTGTAAGCTAATTATTGAAGTGCAAGATATTAATGACAATAAGCCTGAAATTAGCATAATGTCAAAGTCAAATGTTATATCAGAGGATGCTGTAGTAAATACAGTTGTAACAGTGATAAATATTGAGGACAATGACTCTGGAAAAAACGGGAAAGTTAAATGCTTTATCAATGAAAATATGCCATTTGTTCTGAAAATGTCAGCAAATAATTTCTACAGTTTAGTGACAGACAGTGAATTAGATAGAGAAACATATTCTGAGTATAATATCACAGTAATTTGCTCTGATGAAGGCGTACCCTCGCTCTCTAGCAGCGTCACTCTTACATTACAGATCTCTGATGTGAATGATAACGCACCTGTCTTTGAAAGGAGCTCATATGAGGCCTACATTGTAGAAAACAACACACCAGGTGTGTCTATATTTACTGTGAAGGCTACAGATAACGACTGGAATCAAAATGCCCGTGTTTCTTACATCCTGGAGGACTCCTCTGTTAATGGAGTGCCAGTCTCCTCATATGTGTCCGTCAGTGCTGATAGTGGAGTCATCCATGCAGTGCGATCTTTTGACTACGAGCAGATCAAAGATTTCCATTTCCGCGTCAGAGCACAGGATGGAGGCTCTCCTCCTCTCAGTAGCAATGTGACGGTGAAAATCCTGATCCAGGACCAGAACGATAATCCTCCTCAGGTTCTGTATCCAGTCCAGACTGGAGGCTCCATGGTGGCTGAAATGGTGCCTCGTTCAGCAGATGTGGGCTACCTGGTGACTAAAGTGGTGGCTGTGGATGTGGACTCTGGACAGAATGCCTGGCTCTCCTATAAACTCCAGAAAGCCACAGACAGAGCGCTGTTTGAAGTGGGCTTACAGAATGGAGAAATAAGAACTATCCGTCAGGTGACTGATAAAGATGCTGTGAAACAAAGACTGAATGTCATAGTGGAGGACAACGGGCAGCCCTCTCGCTCAGCTACAGTCATTGTTAACGTGGCGGTGGCGGACAGCTTCCCTGAAGTGTTGTCGGAGTTCACTGACTTTCCACACGATAAGGAATACAATGACAACCTTACCTTTTACTTAGTGTTGGCTCTGGCTGTGGTTTCCTTCCTCTTCATCACGTGTTTAGTGGTTATAATATCAGTAAAGATCTACAGATGGAGACAGTCTCGCATCCTGTATCACTCCAGCCTCCCTGTGATTCCATATTATCCACCTCGTTACTCCGACACTATGGGGACAGGAACTCTGCCACACGTGTACAATTACGAGGTGTGCAGGACGACTGACTCCAGAAAGAGTGACTGTAAATTTAGTGGAGCTGGTAGTCAAAATATGTTAATAATGGATCCGAGTACTACAGGGACGATGCAGCGGCTGCAGAGTGAGAAGCACATCTTGGATGAACCTGACTCCCCAGTAGAGGTTAGTTTGCATTAACAGTCACTTACATTATCTGGTATGATGTTGTTTGTTACCTCATATTTTGTTTGATTCCAGTACAATTATTTTTAGTTTTACAATATTTTGTAAAGGTGCTTTAACTATACTTTATGCCTATAAAAGGTAACAGGTAGGCAGGCACGCGGACAGGTTGGCTTTGAGTATTTCTTATGCTTGTACTAAATAGTTTAGTCTTTATTCATTTACAACTTGTTCGTATGAAAATCACAGACAACAGTTAAAGTAAACAGCAACGTAACCAAATTACTTAAATTGTTTCCAGTTTTCCATAATATTTAGGAGTTATTTAATTGATTTGCTTGCATTTTTCTTTTTCTTTTCTTTTTTTTTTACTTATCTCTTTGTGAAAATGTTTTGCCCTTCTCAAAAGCAGTTTGTTTTTAGACTCCCTACATCTTCCCATTTTAATACCATCTAAGAGAAATCAAAGGATTATCATGTTGAAGGATCGCTTATTTTAAATTTAGTAAACTTTTTTTTCTTTTATTGTATGTACGTTTTTTTTCATTATCATAGGTTTGTTTGATTATCTAGTAGACGCTAATGCTGAATTTCTTAACAGATATTCTGGGTTTAAAGATGACATTCATAATTTTTGACGGTCTCTGGCAGTCATAATTATAGTGACTGTTCAGGACCGATCGGTTTCAGAACCATGGTCAGTTCTTTATCCGTCTCAGCTTTGGTAGTATGTACTTTCTTCCTTTCTGTTTTGTGTTTTTTGTTTCATGCTCATGCTATCAGTTGTCATATTTTATGAGAAGTTTATGATGCTGTTTTGAGTGATTGAAACTTTCTACCTGCGCCATTGAGTTAGGCAACTGAGTTGAACAAAGATGAAATGCAGTTAATGCCTACTTTTTTAAACTCTTACCATTTATCTTCAAGACTTGTAAACAAACAAGATGTCTGACGAAAGCCTTTGATATTAAAAACTTTATTCATAACAACTATATCAGTATTTAATAATCATCGTTTTCCTTATACTTTGAACCCATTAAAAATTAAATGTTCTTTTTTTTTTTTTTTTTTTTTGTAGTCTGCAGTTTTTCTATACAGACTCTTAGGGCCGCTGTTGACCAGAGTGTAGAAAACTGACATTATGTATGTTTCAGCACCTCCTCTGCTCCCTCCGCATGATAAAGAAAGGACTGAACAGAGGAGAAAGAGGCGCTCCTTTTCTGTGCATCGTTTTAGAAAGAACCGTGGTATTTTGAACTCATTTGTGGACTATCACACAGTAGGGGCAATTCACATTGGATTTGATCCCCGTTTTACTGAATATAAAAATACCGAACTTGTGTCACGAATGTTCGCAGGACAATGGCAAGGCAAGTAACGCTGTTTCTGTTTACGTTCTCTCTCGGTTCGGTTATCGGGCAGGTCAGCTACACTATTTCTGAAGAATTGCCGAAAGGATCTTTGATTGGTAGTATAGCTCACGATTTAGGCTTGGAGGCGCAGCGTTTTATTTCTGGCAAAGCTCGGATTTATACCCGAGACGGCAGTGAGTACGTGGAGCTCAGCAGAGAAAGAGGACTCCTCCTCGTTAGGGAGAGAATCGACAGAGAGACGCTCTGCAAACAGACGACGCCCTGTGCTTTGCACTTTCAGATAATACTAGAAAACCCGATGGAATTTTATACAGTAACAATCCAGATCGCAGATATTAATGACAATGCACCAGTGTTCAAGAAAAATGAGGTCGTTTTCAAAATAAGCGAATCAGCGGCAATTGGAGCAACATTCGTTCTGGAAAAAGCTGTAGATCTTGATGTTGGAATTAATAGCGTTCGTGGATACGAACTACAGCCGACGAATAATTTTGCTCTAAAGCTTTATAATAATCAACCGGATAAAAATGTGGAAATGGTGTTGCAGAGGCCTTTAGACAGAGAGAAAGAGGAGCAGATAAATCTGGTCTTGACGGCTGTAGACGGAGGAGAACCACAGATGTCAGGTACGATGCTGATTGTGATTACAATTGTAGACGCGAATGATAATGCTCCAGTATTTACGCAAAAAACATATAAGGCTACTGTTACCGAAAACTCACCCAGAGGGACAGTTGTCGTAACTGTTACAGCATCAGATGCAGATCAAGGTTCCAACAGTAAAATAACATACTCTATTACTTCGAGAAACGACGACGAAAGTAGAATATTCGACATAAATAAAGAAAACGGTGAGGTTATGTTAACTGGTAATCTTGATTTTGAAGAGTCGAGAAATTATCATCTTAATCTTGTAGCGAGTGACGATGGTGGACTCACTGATTCGTCAAAATTAATTGTTGACGTTCAAGACACAAATGACAACACTCCGGCAATTAACATAATGTCAAAGTCAAACGTAATTCCAGAGAACGCTGACCTAAATACCGTTGTTACCATGATAAATATTGAGGACAGAGACGCAGGAGAAAATGGGAAGGTGCATTGTTACACTAGTCAAAATATACCATTTATGCTGAAGTCATCAACGAGTAATTTCTACAGTTTAGTGACAGACAGTGAGTTAGACAGAGAGAGCGCCTCAGAGTATAATATCACACTGACCTGTTCTGATGAAGGTGTGCCCTCCCTCTCCAGCAGCGTAACTCTCACTTTGCAGATATCTGATGTGAATGACAACGCACCTGTATTTCAGAGGAGCTCATATGAGGGCTACATTGTAGAAAACAACACACCAGGTCTGTCTATATTTATTGTGAAAGCCAAAGACGCTGATTGGAATCAAAATGCCCGTGTTTCTTACATATTGGAGGAGTCCTCTATTAACGGAGTGCCTGTCTCCTCATATGTATCTGTTAGTGCTGATAGTGGAGTCATCCATGCAGTTCGCGCTTTTGACTACGAACAGATCAAAGATTTTCAATTCTGCGTTAAAGCGCAGGATGGAGGCTCTCCTCCTCTCAGCAGCAACGTGACTGTGAAAATCCTGATCCAGGATCAGAATGATAATCCACCTCAGGTTTTGTACCCAGTCCAGACTGGTGGCTCCATGGTGGCTGAAATGGTGCCTCGTTCAGCAGATGTGGGCTACCTGGTGACTAAAGTGGTGGCTGTGGATGTGGACTCTGGACAGAATGCCTGGCTCTCCTATAAACTCCAGAAAGCCGCAGACAGAGCGCTGTTTGAAGTGGGCTTACAGAATGGAGAAATGAGAACTATCCGTCAGGTGACTGATAAAGATGCTGTGAAACAAAGACTGACTGTCATAGTGGAGGACAACGGGCAGCCCTCTCGTTCAGATACAGTCATTGTTAGCGTGGCGGTGGCGGACAGCTTCCCTGAAGTGTTGTCGGAGTTCACTGACTTTCCACACGATAAGGAATACAATGAAAACCTGACTTTTTACTTAGTGTTGGCTCTGGCTGTGGTTTCTTTCCTCTTCATCACGTGTTTAGTGGTTATTATATCAGTAAAGATCTACAGATGGAGACAGTCTCGCATCCTGTATCACTCCAGCCTCCCTGTGATTCCATATTATCCACCTCGTTACTCAGAAACTTTGGGAACAGGAACTCTGCCACACGTGTACAATTACGAGGTGTGCAGGACGACTGACTCCAGAAAGAGTGACTGCAAGTTCGGAAGAGTTGATAGTCAGAATGTGTTAATAATGGACCCCAGTTCAACAGCAACGATGCAGAGGATACAGAATGAGAAGAACATCCTGGATGAACCTGACTCTCCTCTTGAGGTTGGTTATAATAATCAGCTGCAATTCATTTAATTTCTGCACGTTTCGTTTTCATTTGTTTTTTTTTTATTTCCTCCTTTTTTGCATAGTTCCAAAGCAATAACGTTTTATTGTTAGTTTATTAAGGTTTTTCTTCTTATTATTTTTTTTATTATTATTATTTTCGAGTTTTTCAAGGTTATTTGTTGTAGTATAAAGTCTTTTTTTTTATTTTTGTTTAAGTTAATTGAAATCATAGTCACTATAAGACTTGGTGAAAAAGGCTTAGAGGCAGGCTAAATTTCAGCACCCTGGACAGAAGCGCTAATATTCAGCTAAACTTCTCTCTCTCTCTCTCTCTCTCTCTCTCTCTCTCTCTATCTCTCTATCTCTCTATCTATTTTAAGTAATTATGTATTGTTGATTGATTCACGTTTCTTTTGGTTGGATTGTGTTACCCGTTACTATTTTTGAATAATTTTTGTGATATCTTCACGGAAGTCAGTTCATATTTACTTTACAACTCTTGCAGTTTTGCTCTGTCAACTCTGTGGGCCGCTGTTGGTCAATTTGTTGAGGTTGTAGAAAAGATTTAAAGCAAACCTCTCGTGCCATGTCAGTATTTTAGAGGAAATTGAGAGAAGGGCGCTGCTTCGTAAAACTCACAGATCGTATGTTGACGGCTTTAACATCGTGCCACTTCTTCCTATCATCTGGATTTGAATGCGTTTCATTTTATTGTTTCTTCCACTTTCTATTGGCTCTATTTCTTTGTGTAAATTGAGATCTAATCTTTTTTTTTTTTTTTTTTAACGGGAGCACAAAGCATTGGACAGAACAATGGAACGGCAAGTACTGTTTTCCATCTTGCTTTGCTGCGTCTATTCAGCTCTAGGTCAGATCAGCTACTCTGTTCCTGAAGAAATGCCAAAGGGATCTGTGGTGGGAAACATCGCAATAGATTTGGGTTTGGATGTGAAAAGATTACAATCGGGTAAAGCTCGCATCTTCACGGGCGAAAGTGCAGAATACGTCGAGCTGAGCAGAGAAAGAGGAGTCCTTCTGGTGAAAGAAAAGATCGACAGAGAGTTGCTCTGCAGACAGACGACGCCTTGTGCTTTGCATTTGCAGATCATTTTAGAAAAACCCATGGAGCTTTTTCGGATAACAGTCGAGATTACCGACATCAACGACAACAGTCCCAGCTTTAAACATGGCGAGAAGCGTTTTGAAATCAGCGAATCTGCGGTTACGGGCTCTAAATTTGTCTTAGAGAAAGCCGTTGATTTAGACATCGGCAGAAACGGTATAAAAAATTACAGTTTAAAACCTACAGATAATTTTGTGTTGAAGGTAGAAAATGAGGCAGATGGAAATAAAAAGGTTGAGATGATTTTACATAAGCCTTTAGACAGAGAGAAAGAGGAAGAGATTTCATTATTGCTAAAAGCTGTAGATGGGGGAGAACCCCAAATGTCTGGTACAGTGAAAATTTATGTGACTGTTCTCGATGTAAATGACAATCCTCCTGTTTTTACACAGTCGATTTACAAAGCAACCATAGCAGAAAATTCTCAGAAAGGAACCACACTGACAACAGTCAGTGCTTCTGATGCAGATAAGGGAATCAACGGGAAAATTTCCTATGCGTTATCGTCTTCTATTGATAGTTTGTCTGATATTTTTCAAATAAAAGAAAATGGTGAAGTAATTTTAGTGGGGGAGATTGACTTTGAAAGAGCGAAAAATTACCAAATTGATATTGTAGCTACAGACAGCGGTGGTCTTTCTGACTCGAGTAAAATTATAGTTGATGTTATTGACGTAAATGACAATGACCCTGTTATAAGTATCATGTCAAAATCTGACTTTATTCTAGAAGACTCTCCCCATAATACAGTTATAGTTATGTTTAGCGTCACTGACCCAGATTTCAGTAACAACGGTCGTGTAAATTGCAGAATAAGTGAAAATATACCATTTGCTATTAAAACGTCATCAAATGACTTTTATACCCTTGTAACAGACAGTGAATTAGACAGAGAGACAGCCTCTGAGTACAATATCACAGTGACCTGTTCTGATGGAGGAATCCCATCCCTCTCCAGCAGCGTCACTCTCACCTTACAGATCTCTGATGTAAATGACAACTCGCCTGTCTTTGAGAGAAGCTCATATGAGGCCTACATTGCAGAAAACAACACACCAGGTGTGTCTATATTCACAGTGACAGCTACAGATGCTGATTGGAACCAGAATGCCCGTGTTTCATACATCCTGGAGGACACTTCTGTAAACGGAGTGCCAATATCATCATATGTGTCTGTCAGTGCCGATAGTGGAGTCATCCATGCAGTTCGCTCTCTTGACTATGAGCAGATCAAAGATTTCTATTTTCGCATCAAAGCGCAGGATGGAGGCTCTCCTCCTCTCAGCAGCAACGTTACTGTGAAAATCCTGATCCAGGACCAGAATGATAACCCCCCTCAGGTTTTGTATCCAATCCAGACTGCAGGCTCCATGGTGGCTGAAATGGTTCCTCGTTCAGCAGATGTGGGCTACCTGGTGACTAAAGTGGTGGCTGTGGATG